CTGACTAGCTGGGTATCTCTGGACCACTGATGCAACCTCTCTGAGCATAAGTTTTCCTATCTACAGGTATGAACTGGGCATGCTAGCACATGCCTGTAATCCCAGCACTTGGAGGCTGAGGCAGGAGGATCCTTGCAAGTTTAAGACCAGCCTGGACTACATATTTGAGCTCAAGGCCAGCCTGAACCACATAGCAAGACCCTGTCTCAATTAATTAATTAATTAATTAATAATTTTAAAATACAAAAAAAAAAAAAAAAAAAAGGACTGCTCAGTACATGGGACCTCATCAGAGTAGAAAATAGAAAGTGGCCCAGCAGAAACACCCAAGAAGTTGCCTGTGAGCACAAACTGCTTCAGAGGGATCTCAGGCCTCCAGGACCTATTTCTGCCCTGTAGCCACCAAGAGCCTCTGCTGCTGAGACAGCCTGGCCTTCACTGCATACAAAGCCAGGGCAGAGGGCAGCTTCTGCTGGAACCAGGCCCCTCCTTCCCACCAGGAAGCCACCTGCACAGGGGGCCTCCCGAGGCATCACCTACCATCCGGGCTAACCCAAGGCAAACAGGCTTTTCCCGTCACAAAACGGAAGTGCCGCTGTCCCATGGTAAGCTCACATCCCAAGGCCCATGCAACTCACTGTAGCAGTGCTTGCATCTGCAGTGTTGAAATAATATTTTAACGAGAATAGGCATGTTATCAGGAAAATGAGAGCCCCGGCCACTGAGCAGTGCAAAAGCTCTCATCTGATAGCTTTCCTGCCTCCCTCTCTCCAGAGCCATGTGGCAAGGTTGAGAGGCGGACAGGGAGGTGTGGGAACACTGGGGAAATTAAATTGCAGAGGTGACTACTTAGCAATAACTCAAAACTCTATACCAAGAATGTCAGGCATGGGCAAACCCACGCTAAGCTGAAGGTACAGTAAGAGGAAGAGCAGCCCCACTGCCCAATCAGGGAAAGGGAAGAGACCCAATCCTGCTACCTTAATTCCGCCTCCCATGCCTGCTGGCTTATCCCAGGTAGGCACAAGAAAACTCAGATCCTAAGAAAGCAAGGAGACGAAATCCTAAAACACACAGTGGAAGAAATATACTGCTGACCAGGCTTTTTTAAGTCTCACTGTCAAACAGTATTTCAGAAATGTTTATAGACAAAAGTACAAAAATAAGCAGCTGAACGCTGCGTTTTAACAGCTCTGGCCTCCTCCCCGTGCTAAATGAGAGCTGCGGCTTGGACGGCGCGAGGTCCCCAGTGGTGCTGGCTGTTTTCGGTTGTCTCTTAGGCAACCTGGGCCGCTCCACTGCAGCTCATTGATATCTTCAACTTTGTGATCCAGAAATGTGATTTAGTAATGGCACATCTAACTCTAAAGAATGTAAGCATGTCCAACAGCCATGAGCTGCACAATGTAGTCCAGCTAACAATGATATTAAAAATATATTAAGGGCCAGGGGTTTGGCTCAACAGCATAAGTGCCTGCTTGGCAAACTTGAGGTTGTGAGTTCGATCCCGGCACCAAAAAAAAAAAGTAAAAAAAAACATTAAAACAAACTTCCTGCTTTAATCATCTTGCAAGACTTGAAGGACTGAAGCAGCGAGGCACGAAATTGTCTTCTGGAAAACTTAAGAGTAATGATGTCATTATTTTGGTACTCCTGACTCCAGGGATGAAGGGAATAGAACCGCGTTGCTAAGTGCAACCGATAGGTGGCGCTGTGGCACAGGGCAGCTTGGGATCCTACAAAACCCGGGTTATGACAAAGGTCATGCGCCAGGTTTAAACTTCAGCATTAAAAAGGTTCCCTCCCCAAAGAGGTACCCTGAAAAGGCATCTGACTTGCACAGATCTACTGCTTTAGCAAATGAAATTCTGTAACTTCCGTAACTTCCATAGTAGACACTGATTTTGCATTTAGCTAAAGAATGTGTTAGATTACTACAGCCCTGGATGCCAAATCCAAGCTCTCTCTTCAGTACCAAAACCCAGGGTGCTCAAGATCTGTAAAATGGCACAAGGCTGATGCTGCAGATCAGCGACAGAGTGCAGTTTAGGATGCTTGAGGCCCTGGTTTCCAGCATCACAAAAAACAAATGAAAAAAGTGTAACAGTATTTCCTTATAACTTTCACACCTCCTCTAGACACTTCAAGTCAGTTCTTTCTAAAAGACTAATAAAACCTAACGGAAGGCAAGCGCTATGGTACACAGTTGTTACACTGTATTTTTAAGGAAATAAGGAAAACAAAAAGGTCTGTGCACCTTCAGTACAGGTACAACTCTATGCCAACTACACCTTGATTTTAAGTATTTGCTGGGCTTGCTGTCACCTTCCAGCATTTAAAAAAATCAAACTCTAGCCAGACATGGTGGTACACGCCTGTAATCCCAGCACTCGGGAGGCTGAGGCAGGAAGGTCATTGCAAGTTCGAGATTAGCCTAGGCTACAAAGTGAGCTCAAGGCCAGCCTGAACTACATAGAAAGATCCTGTCTCAAAAAAGGCAAAAATAAAAACAAAATTCTAATGAAAACTGGCAAATTATCAGCTGTGTAACGATATCGGAAACCCAGCATCACAATAATCCCACTTGGAAAGGAGACACTGCTTTCAATCCAGGCCTCCACCACACTCCGTGCTCTGGAAGCCGAGACCCCACTGCCGCTCACCCCTTTCCTGGCCACTGTGCCACTGCACTACTCAGCTGAGATTGGCATTTCCTCCAGTCTCCACCAAAAGTTCTTGACACTGGCCTCCCAGAGCGACCTCAGCCCGCAGGGAAACCAGCAGAGTCCATCCTGGGTCCCTCCCCCTCCTGCAGGCTGCCAGCTCCTGTTTCTCCTGCCCTGCATCCCCCTATGACACGGAAGGAATTAAAACGCCTGCTCTTGGGCCAGGGCTGTCGCTCAGTGGTAGAGCTTGTTTAGTGCTCTGGCTTCAAACCTCAGCATAAGAGCAAAACACAACCTGTACTCCAGAAGCTGTTGCCAAGACTGACTGCAGAGGCCACAGAGGGCGCAGCACCACGGTTTGGCACCCAGTAGGCAGAAGGAAGTTATTACTGCCCCTTCCCTCCTTCATCTCACCAACAAGGCAGATGAGTGCAAATTATGTGGTAATAGTAAGCACATCTCCTGCAGCCTATTTTCATGTAAAAAGAGGCTTGGAAATGACTAGTCAACACATGGACTCTTGGATCTGCTTCCCTAACTGAGGCAAGATGGTGGAGCTTTCTGGTAAAGATTGTAGAGGGTAAAATAGGAGCGTTCTCTAGGGTTGCACAACATGGTTGACCACACTGCATAAATTGCACCAAATACTTGTTCAGAGCCCAGCATGATGACAAAAGCCTGTAATTCCAGACTAGAGAGGAAGAGACAGGAGGACTGACAGGAGTTTAAAGCCAACCTGGGCTACATAGCAAGACCCTGTGTTAAAAAATAAATGTGTCCGGGGCTTTTAGGTACATTTTCATTTTTCATTGCAGGTTTGAATTAATGCTGCAAAGTATCCAGGCTGCAGTTAGTCATCGGCTATGGGAAAGCTTTAACAAAAATCTTAGGGTTGCCAGGCGTGGTGGTGCACACCTGTAATTCCAGCACTCAGGAGACTGAGGCAGGTGGATCGTTGAGAGTTCGAGACCACCCTGGGCTACAAAGTGAGCTGAAAGCCAACCTAAGCTGCATAGCAAGACCTTATCTCAAAAAACAAACATCTTAGGGTTTAGGAACCCATAGTAGAGCTAGTGTTCCCAAGAATTGAAAAACTACTGGCCTTTATGGCTGGCCAGCCAGGCCCCCCACTAAGTCTCAGCCCAGGGAAGCTGCTTTGTAGGAAGGATCCTTCAACCAGAGCTAGCTAACAAACGAGCACATTTCCTATAACATCAGTGAAAGAAGTGCAGCTGGGGCAGAGAGAACGCACACTACTGCGCTTGGAAAGTCTGCTCAGAACGCCATAGAAGTGTTTTACCCTTTAGGGGGGGCACTCACTCCCCACCTGACATTCGGTCCCTCCCTTGGGGCTCTCTGCGTGGGGGCACAGCGCCCTTGGAAGGCTAGGGAACAGGCAGGCACCAACCCCGCAAGTTCTGGAAACTTTCTCAGCGGACAGGGCTCCCCGCGACCCCTGAAGCCACCGTGCTATCTGGTGAGGCTGGAACCGCGGCCACCGCAGTCGGCCGGACGGCGTCTCCACCAGGGCCCCTACCGCGCAGGGCGACGCGGGTTACCCCAGCACCAACCCGGGAACTCCAGTGTTGTGTAAACACCGCGCAGGCCCATTCCTCAACCGCTCGCTTTGATGCTTCCGCCGCGATCATTTATCTGACATCTAAATCAAGGTTCCGCTGACAAATCCTCGCGTCTCCACTACACAGAAGGCTGCTGGCCAAGTACTGCTCCCCGGGGCTCCCTTTCAAGGTCCGATAACCTCTGACACCTCCACAAAAGGGTTGTGAGGACGTGGCCAGGAGGTGACTCCATATCGGCGGCGTCGCCCTGCACGCACGTGGGCACTGCCACGCGCGGGCGGACACCGGCGGGGACGCGGGCATAAGAGGTTACTTTCCAGCCTGAGTTTGATGCAGAAAGATGCCAAGCGCGCGTCCGTAACCAGCTGCGCTCCGCGGGCGGTTAATTGTTGCCAGATGTGCGGCGGGCGCCGCACGGACATTCCGGGTCCCGAGAAAACCCCGGCCCACGCGCTGCGACAACTCGGCTGGGGACAGCGCAGCCCCGGGAAGGAAGACCGCGCGCAGAGCGGAGAGATCGCAGGGAGCGGGGCCGCCTCGCGCTCCTCAGGAGTTTTCTCCAATTAAAAAGTTGGAATCCGGAACCGGTAAACAACGGCTTCCAACTACCTGGCAAAAGTAACGGTGGCGAGGAGCGGACTTGAGCACTTCCAAGTCCCCGCCTCGAGGTCCCCGCGGTGAACACGCCGGCGCCGGAGAGCAGCGCTCCGCAGTCGGAACCGCAGCCCGGGCAGCCTGCACCCCGCCGCCCTACCTTTCATGGTGGCCGAGGACGCGCGCCGCCAGCCCCGGGGCTCCGCGCGAGAAAATCGCCCTGCGCGCCGTCACTGCGCGCCCATGGCAGCCGCGCCCCGCGCCCTCCGTCTGCGCCCAGCTCGCCCCGCCGCCGCCACAGCAGCCGCCGCGCGCTCTGCCGCCGGGGGCCGCCGCCGCCGCCACCCCGGGCAAGCGCCGCGCCCTCGCGCCCCGCCCCGCCCCCCCGGCACGCCCCGCTCCGCCCCGCCCTGCCCTGCCGGGAGCTCGCGCAGCCCGCACACCCCACCACCACCCGAGGGAAAAGCCCCTCCCAGGAGGTCCCGCGTCACCCCCCGGAGCGCGCGACAGGGCGGGCCGCCAGAAGCTATGCTACCCACGGAGCGTGGGACTACGCTGCCCACCCGCACGCGGGGACAGGCAGTGGGAATCGTGTCCCGGGTTCCCGCGAAGTACCCACGGGGAGCGCGCTCGCTCTCCTCGGGGACACCCCGTTGCCAGGCCCCCAAGTCACTAGAGGTGCGCTCCTGCCAGAACTCAGGAGCGGGGTCACAACTTGTGGATTTTCTAGAAAGACAAGCTCTTCTCCCCACTGCGTCGCGGCTGGAGGAAAAGCCACCCTTCACTCTCCGCCGCGGTTGACCCTCGATTATCGATTATCGGAGGAGGCTCGGCTGGGGACTGCCCGTTGAGCTCGTCTCACGGTGCCCCTCACCAGCGGACTCTGCTGATGGCTTTGAGACCTAAAGTGGTGGAGAGGGGCATGGCAGGGTGCGAGGGGAGGGAAGTGAGGCGAACTCCGCCGGCCTGCGAAAGCAGCCCTTGCCCCTAGTGTCCCGCTTCAGGGAGCAGAAGAGTCACTGGCCCGGCCGCGCAAGACTGCGCTGCTCCAGTCGCCGCAGTGCCCAGGAAGACCGCCTAGCAGAGCGCTTCCTAGACGCTGTACACCAGAACGCTTCTGAACACAAAGGGCAACTTGGCTGCTTCTGGAACCCCAGGCCACCCCTGCATGCAGCTTCCTGGGTGGGAGGAGCAGAGTCCCTGGAAGTCCATTAGGCCTGACCCGCGGCTTGGGAGGTGGCTGCAATCATGCGGGATAATGGACAGTCACCATCCCGCCTGGGAACCGGTGATTAAGCCCATCACCTTAATTCAGTAGTGTTTCCAGTCATAAAATGGAAAAACTGCTGTCAACACTTGCACCGACTATCATTTTAAAACTATAAATTCTGACTATGACACCAAAAGCACAGGCCACACAGGAGAAAAATAGATAAGGTGTATTTCAGGGTTAAGACCCTTTGTGCATCACCGGCTGCAGTGCACAGTGAGGAAGGAGGCCGGGTAGGTGGGAAAGGATACTGGGAAACCAGGTCTCTGATGACAGATTCACATCCACGACATATAAAGAACCCCTCCGGTCAACAGCATCAAGAAACAACAACCCAGTTCAAAACTGGCAAGGGTCTTGAAAAGCGTTTTCCAGCTGATACACATGCACAGGGTGAGCCAGAGCTTCGAAGGGCTGTCACCATCACTGACTGTCAGAGAAACGCCCATCAAAACAGGTCTTGTACAGTAGCTGGCGTTTTTGTTTGTTTGAGACAAGAGTCTCACTATGCAGTTCAGGCTGGCCTTGGGCTCACTATGTAGCCCAGGCTAGTTTTGAACTTGCAGCGATCCTTCTGCCTCAGCCTCCCGAGTGCTGGGATCACAGATGTGCACCACCATGCTCAGCCTGCATGGTACTGTGTGCCTGTAATCTAAGCACTGGGGAAGCTGAGGCAGGAGAATCGCTGTGACTTGGAGGCCAGCTTGGGCTACACAGTGAGTTTAACACCCACCTGAACTATGTAACAAGATCCTGTCTCAAAAAAACAAAAATGACAGTTGCACACTTGGGTTCATAGTATCACAATTTGCACATGGTGAACAAGTGGGTAAGCAATATGTGGCTGTGCAGGATGTCGTGAGAGGACATCCCAACATGTACAAGGCAAGGATGAACCCTGACAGTGTGATGCAAAGTGAAATAATCCCATGGCAATAGGGTGACTACGGCTTTGCTTCTGTGCGGTCCCAGTGAGGGTCATGGAGAGAGCAAGAAGGGGTTGCTGGGGCCAGGGGAGAGGGGAGAGGATTGAGGAGGAACCTTTGGCAGGATGAGAAAAGCAGTGATGGAGGTGGCAATAGCTGCACAGTGGGACTGTCCCTCGTGCCATGGCACCTTGCCCTGAAAGATGGTTCAAATGGCCAGGTGTGGTTCCACACCTTACTCCCCACACTCTGGGAGGCTCAGGCAGGAGAATCACAAGTGGGAACCCAGCCTGGGCAATTTAACAATTTAGCAAGACCCTGTCTTGAAATTTAAAAAAAGATGGTGGTGGTGGGGGAGTTTGAGGATATCATACAGTGCAGAGACCCTGGGTTCTGTCCTCAGGACTACAAAAGACAAAAGGCAGAGTTTCTGTTCCATATATTCTCCCACAATAAAACATACTAATGGAAAAACTTCAAGGTAAAAGCCAAGCAAACAAAGCCTAAGCCCTTGAAGATGGTGGTGCCGATGAGGGGCCCCACAGACCTGCCGGAGAGCCAGCTGTGGCTCTGGCAACTCCTGAGAGAACAGTTGTAGAGTCCCAGGCGATGCCTTCTCTCCCTCCCCTCTGGAGCAGAGTGGTTCAGGCCCCATGGCTGGTCCCACAGGTCCCTGAACTGGCACCTCGCCTGAGCCCTGCCGGCAGGATATAGAGACAGCAGGTCATGATCACACGCAGATTACAGCTGACCACGATTTCGCTATCAAGCGCTCTGGAAGAGGTTTGAAAGAATGGCTATGAGTCGGGTGTGATGGCATTCATCTGTAATCCCAGCACTTGGGAGGCTGAGGCAGGAGGATCACTGTAAGTCTGAGACCAGACTGGGCTACATAGTGAGTTTAAACCCAGCCTGAACTTGTTACACAGTGAAAGCCTGTTTCAAACACATAAATGACTGAAAGAAAGGTAGAGGAGAGGAGAATAGTGGATTGGAAGGAACTTGGGTGCCACTGTAGATGCTTTTAAACTCAGGAGGCTGGGCTGAGGCCTCCAGTCCCCTATAAGCTCCCGCAACCCAGGAGCAGCAGCCAGTCCCCCAATCCCACCTCACTTATAACCCCTACCAGAGGCTGCCTCATGCAGTCCTGACCAACCCTGGGCTAGACTCTTTCTACTGCTGCAAGGCCTCAGGGTCCTTCACTCACTTTCTCTCCATCCACATCCTCACCTGGCTCTGTGGCTGCCTGCCAAGGGCACGGCATACTTGCTCCTTCTCTCCTGCACCCCGCCTGGAGATACTGCAGCCCAACCAGGGGCCAGCAGAGCTCTGCAAGCCACCTCCCTGCCACCTGTGGAGGACCGGAGAGCTGGACCCTGCAGCTCCCAAGCCTGCTTCCTGCCAGGAGAGTGTGCAGACCTGCACAGAGGAGCCAGGCGGGGCACAGGATGCTGTGAGTGCTAGTGGACAGGGCAGCCAGCAGAAGCTGGAGAACACAGCTATAGTCTGTTGTGTGGCTAGCTGAGTCACATATGACAGGTAATCAAAAATACAGTGTGTTATTTGGGCATGGTGGCACACACCTGTAATTGCAGCACTTGAGAGGCTGAAACAGGATTGTTGCAAGTTCAAGACCAGCCTGGGCCACAAAGTGAGACCCTGTATCAAAAAAGACAAAAAAGAACAAACAAACAAGCAAAATACTGTGTGAGTTTACATTCTGAATATGTTTTTCACATCTCCATGAATTCTCCTCAAAATTCTCTCCCAGCTTTGAACACACTTACCCCATCATGCTTGCCACTTTCTGAGGCAGTTCTGAAGTTCTGTTTTGTGTCTGCCTAGGGAGTGACCACAACTACAGTGACTACTGCTGAGGAGCGCCATCCAACAGAAAGGAAGGGTTGAAAAATATAACAGCGTGTCCTCATCCACCTTCTTCACCGGGTCTGGTGCTGTGCCACTTTTGGCTCTTGCCCAAAATCAAAATGACGGGGAGAAGTGGAAGTTTTTGAACTGATTCAGGACACTGAGGCAGCCAGGACAGCTCAACTAAAGACACTCCAGAAAGAGGACTCCAGAGCTGCTGCAGAAAGCGGCAAGGGCAATGGGATGGGTGCCTCTGAACTGAGGGGTAGGGTTTGAGGGGCTTAACGGTAACATGTCTGTTACTAATGAATGTTTTACTAAATGTAAACATTTGCTGTATTTTGCAATCATATCTTGTCACCCCATAATCTGCGACAATCTCAGCGCTTCCTGGCCAGCTAGCAGCCAGGATATGCACCAGCTGCCCCTCCCCCTCACTACTTGTTTCTCTTCTCTCCTTCCACAGCATCTTCTGCTGGACTTCAGCCAGGCTATTTGATGTGTGTCTCCCCACACATTCCCATATATGATACTCTGTGCCTAGCATGCTGCCTCTGAAGCCACCCTCCTTTTCCATTGTGTCAGTATATTTACCTGTGTTTGATTGAAAAAAAATGTAGAAATGGACCTGCTGATCCAAAAAGCGTTACATTGCTGCTATACCCAAGGCACTGCTCTGTGCTGCAGAGGATCACATTTCGGTCAGTGTCTCCTTGGGAAGCTTTGCAGGAAGGAGGGAAGGACCTGCAGGACCAGAGAGAAAGGGGAGGTGGTCAGTGTCCTAAAGGCACACAGATAGAGTGTGGAGAAGGAAAAGCAGTCCTTGAGTAGGATGAAGGCCCCATGCAAAGTCTTGCTATGTGGTTCAGGCTGAACTTGATCTCACTATATTTCCCAGGCTGGCCTTGAATTTGCAGCAAACTTCCTGCCTCAGCATTTTGAGTAGTGGGATTATTGGTATGCACCACCATTCCCAACCCAGGGATATTATTTATAAAGTGCAGAAGGCTGGACCTCTTCTCAGGCCTCCAAAGCCAAGTCTTTCTGAGAGAGACTTTGTTCTGGTTCATATTGCTCCCCAAATGATTCCAGGCTCCTCCGTTTGGAGAATAATCACATTAAAAACATGTGTTTATCTTTTTACCTTCTTTCTTGTGTGTGTGTGTGTGTGTGTGTGTGTGTGTGTGTGTGTGTTACTGGGAACTGAACCCATGGCCTTTGCACTGAGCTGCATCTTCAGCCCTTATTGGA